CTAACTACTAACTACAGTTGTATAAAAAGGCTTTTCCTTTATTTAGTATGAAAAATAAATATGTAGGGTCTTGAGACATGTTACAAGCATATGAAAAACTTAAAGCTTTGCTTTCATTAGCTGAGTTACACTGTCAAATATCAAATCCACTGAGCAAATATGGCCACTGTAAAGCCAGTAGCTTCTTGCATGTAATGGTTTGCCACTCATTTAACGGTTCTTGAGCCAGAGATGATGACAGACAGTCCACTACAGGAACTTAACTTTGATAAAAATTGAAGATTGCACAGTGTGTACTATATGATAGATTTACCAAACTTAGTCACACTCTGAGTTGAGCTTCATACTTTACTAAAAGTATTTGAAGCCAATGAATGCCGGTCAGAGGCTCAGAAGTGTGAAATGCAGGACTTCTAGGCTGAAAAACTCTTTCTTTCCGACTGCCATCAGACTCCTAAACAGCTGACTCAGGATCTACCTCATGTAATTCCATCTGTACTGTTTACATACTCGTCTTGCACATGCATAATTGCACACTCACTGCTGAGTATTTGCACTCCACAACTCCCACATAGCATATATTGTCTCTGCATTATATTGTGTTCTTGTTGTATTTTATTTGCTTCCTTCACTTGCTGCTTTAAAGTGCCTTAGATGTCTGATTTTACTGCCTATGTAGATTTGTGTTATTGCTCATCTACCTTATATTTCACTTGTATTGTGTGGCATTCATGTGGACGGCAAAGTAAGAATTTCATTGTACAGGGAAACACGTTTCCTAACTGTGCATATGACAAATAAACACTTTGACTTTGACCTTGACCTTAGAACAACAAAAAAACCTAACTGACATGCTTTAAAACATAGTCCGTGGCCATGTAAAACATGCATTTTCCAAAATCTGTGTATGTACAGGAATATAATGCGAGCTCTGCTGGAGGCGGTGCAGTACCTCCACTCCCTCAACATTGTCCATCGGGATCTGAAACCTGAGAACATTCTTTTGGATGATCAGGGACACATCAAACTGTCTGACTTTGGTTTCTCAGTACAGCTGCAGCCTGCAGAGAAACTCAGAGGTACTTTAGTATAGAGCATATCATTTTAAATGAGTTTTATGCAAATCATTTGTACAATTGTGTTTATTTGTTTGAATTAGAACTTTGTGGGACACCTGGTTATTTGGCCCCTGAAATACTGAAATGTTCCATGGATGAACTGCACCCAGGCTATGGCCAGGAGGTCGATCTGTAAGTTCCTTTTGTCAGTGATATGTTTATGTCAGTATAGATTTACAAAGAATGTGGCATTGTTCTCACTTTTATGTCAAACTCTTGCATACTTGTTTTGATGTGTGTCTTGGTAAGATGGGCATGTGGAGTGATCCTTTTCACCTTACTGGCGGGCTCGCCACCATTCTGGCATCGCAAACAGATGCTGATGCTGAGGATGATCATGGAGGGTCGCTTTCATTTCAGCTCCCCAGAATGGGATGACAGGTCTGACACCGTGAAAGATCTGGTAAGCTGTATTCTTTACAAACCTTAGAGTTAAGACTCCAGCCACAGTATGTTACTGTGTTCCTAGCATTCTACTTAAATTTCCTCTCATCTTAAAGTAATATACAGCAGGAGCAGGTGACAGCTTTTTTCAGACGATGAGCATCTACAGTATCACACTAATTCAGATTTTTCACTTGCTTTGGTTTGCTGCTCTTGCTTGTCATCCTCAGATATCCAGGCTGTTGGTGGTGGACCCACCTGCCCGTCTCACTGCTGAGCAAGCCTTAGCACATCCCTTCTTCAGACAGTACCAGAAGGAGGATGTACGGCTCTTCAGTCCCAGAAAGACATTTAGGGTGAGTCAGAGGGTGATTTGAAATTTATCAGCCTTGACAATGAGTGGCTGTCCAGCAGTATATGAAGAAGCAAATAACTTTAACATGTTCATTAGTTTTTCTTTCTTGCCTCCTCAGGTGTTGATACTCAGCGTGCTGGCCTGTATCAGGATGTACAGCCATTACCGTAAAGGTCGACCCCTAACTCGAGAGGTGTTGGCCAGAGACCCTTACTCCCTTCGCAGCGTACGCAAACTCATTGATGGATGTGCCTTCCGTATTTACAGCCACTGGGTAAAGAAAGGGGAGCAGCAGAACCGAGCTGCCCTCTTTCAGAACACAGCTAAGATCATGCTGTTGGGCCTGGAGGACTTTGAAACCTAAAAGCTTGATTTCATTCTTAACTACCTTGATTTTATTTAACCATTTGCATGTGATGTAATATCAGTGTTTGTGTTGTTGATTTGCTATACAATTTTAAGATGAGGAATTGAGGGACCGGGACATTTGTATGCCTTAATATGCACCATGGTTCTGCAAGTTTTAGATAAAGCATGCACAGCTTAATATTCCTTATCTGCCTTTTGATGTTAGTTTGTAGATGTTTGAAACATTTCCTGTCACCTTATCATGTTTTCAGTATCACTTTGCATTAGAGGACACATTGCACAATCTTATGATAGTACTCATCACATATACTGGAGGTGCATTATGTATATTTAGGACTTTAACTGTTGATCATCAGTTGTAAATGAAAGAATACAATTCTAAGCACTGAGATTAATTATTTAATAGATAATTATATAAAGATATTGTGTATAAACTGAGATATACAGCTATTCCAGTCTTACAAATAAATATCGGAGGCTGTGTACAATATTTGACATTCAAATACAATATTTGAAGTGTTCTTGGTAGAAAATCATTACCCATCATGCATGCAGACAGTCCTCAATAGGAAATCTACATACACACTGTGGAGACCATTTGTGACTGTAACACCATTCCATTCTCATTTCATTCTGCAGTTTAATAAGTGACACTTTTCAACTGCCTGCCTGAGAAATGTACAGCAATTGTACAAATGCAGATATACGTTGTACTGTATACGAACAAAAGGGTTTTATTGGCAATAAAACATGTTTTAGTTTGAATTCTCGTTTGTGTGAGTGCTTAATGGAAATCAACATAGCGGCTGTTTGGATGAAAACACTAAAGGAAATGTTTATTACCCGTTATTTTTTGACCTTTTGGTTGGTCTGTGGGGAGTATAATGCACCAATGTGCTGATCAGCAATTTCTTTCATTCGCTGATTTAGTTGTCCAGACACAAGCATCATCTGCTCTCTGACTTCCTTCTCTATCAGTGTCTTCAGTTCTGATGTGGAACCTAAAAGTGAGAAAATGAAGCGGTTACAAAACCCTATTTGGGATGCATTTGTCTCTAAAGGTTATTCTGCACAGTTAAACTCAGCCCTGCTATGTTGTGAACCTACTGAGTGTGGCTCCTCCTGGCTCTGTGATGGATGTTTCCTGTGCTTCAGGAGACCCGTCTTTCTTTGGTACCAGCTGTGTTTCTTCTATAACATTTTCAGCTTGCAAAATAAAGTTTAAATAATTATCATCAAAATACCTGTAAAATATAAAAAAATATTCTGTTCTCCATGTAAACCAATGTAAAACTGAACAAATGTTAAGTGCTAAGCAGGTTGAAGTCATTTTTATATTTGTGGGTTTAAAAAAATTATTAAATTTTAAAATGAAGTTTTTAATTGTGTGGTATTTACATTACAAGTAAGTCAAGCACCTATTTTCTTCAGTATGAAAAATATCTATTAATGTTCACTGTTGCTCTGTATTGTTGGACAGTTCGTTTCATTCATTTTGAACTTGCTCTCATTTAGTCCTAGGTTACATTAAATGTTTTGTAAACCTTTTAAACTTTTTTTCATGCTACCTAGAGGTTTTGGGCAACAAAGACTGAAGATATGCTGCCATCATTACCTGGAGCAAAAGACTCCTCCTGGTCTGGGATCCCAGAATAAGTCAAAGACAAATCAAGTTTAACCTGTTCAAAATTATGTGGAAAAAGTGTGATTCTTCCTCAGAACACAGTCTCATTATTCTCTCCTTGCATAGTTTTATATGAATATAATCAAGTACTATAAAAATGAATGATAGCAGAACATGTTTGAGACAATTACTGTCTCAAACTCATGTCTGATTCTTACCTGTGGGGTGAAAATATATTTGTAGAGTTTGTAGTGTCTCATGTAGCTGTTGTGGATGTACTCCAAGATACAGGTCGCCTCCTTAAAGCTGAAGAGGTTGATACTAAAAGGAGGTCGCTGTAATGAGCAGAGATATCAGGATGAAAGCAGAAACTTGACAATAATGGAAATGTATGGCTGTGAAAATGATACTGTGAAAGGAAAAAGTTGTTGTACACACCCTGACTGAATGACAGAGGAGAAGCTCCTTGCAGTATGTGAAACACTGCTGTATGTTGTTGAGTGGTGTTTCTGTAAGAGAGCAGTTTTAAACACATCCCACATAAAGTTAAAAACACTTTTAAAAAATCTGGAATATTTGCCCAGCAATAGAGCCAGAAGTCATTTTTGATGATAGAAGTCATATGACTTGAAGTCTGACTCTAAGAATTTTATTTAGTGGAGACAACTTGGAAATGTAATAAAGTTCAGTAAATAAACCCAGTATTTACTACATTTTGTCTTATTATCTAAATACTGAATGGCTGAAGAGGTAGCTTGTACTTTTTGATTTCACAAATCATCCGTGTTCAAATCCAGTTCCATCTCAAACTGCTAACTACATGGCAGTGGCAATAATGCAACTTTACTTAACCTATGTTAGCCTCATGGATGGACTTGATGATGGACAGGAGAGCAGAAGTTTGTTCCTTTTTAAAGCTGCACTGTCTGCAAAAAAGCACAGTCTGGACATACAGCTCCATGAGAACCCCTTGTTTTGGTTCAGGGAGGTCAACTTGAAACACACTGCATAAAGCACTGTCACAGGGGAGAAGAGGTGTGACAGAAAAATAATGTCAGTGCTCTGTGTGTGTGTGTAAATAGATGTGTTTCTGATCATAAATAGGGGCAAAAACCTCTCAAGATCAGGAATGGACTGCATGTTGTCGATCTGCTCCATGTCATGGTAGCTTACATCTGTCCTGCAATCGCACAAAGAATGTTTTCAGATAGACATGACATTTAGTGAAGCAAGGTGTAAATAAAAACAGCAAGAATTCAAAATGAACACAATCTAGATTGTAGGCGCAGCTCTCACCACAGCATGATTTTAACTTTCAGAGCCTGTGCCACCTACAGAGCAAAAACAAGACATTTCACACACTCAAAGCATTACTTTAATTGTATATCAAACGATAAACAATTGTAGAGCCTACCTTTATTTTCAAATCCATTTTATTTCATTAACTCGATAGCTAAAAAACAGAAATGCGACTGATTACATTTTTTGTCATAAAGGATACAGGCCTACTCATAACACACGTGTCAAAAAAGCTAAACGCAATCAATACTTTTTTTACCTTTGTGAAAAAAACTGAATGCGAAACTGCATTGCCGAAAACAGGCTTCACTCCCTGTTTGGCTAACTCGCTGTATCCTAGCAACAAGATCCCCTCTTTTTTCTTTTTCCGGTTTTGTCCACATATACGCTGCACTATGTCTCATATTAAAACAAATAATAAACTATGTATGGCAAGCCGTTCAGGAAATAAATGGAATGAAAATATTGACTGAAACTTGAGAATAACGATTGAAAAGCTGGATATATTGAATGAAACTTGAGAGTATATATAATGAAAGTCTGAATATATATAATGAATAGCTGAATATATTGAATGAAACTTGAAAATATATATAATGAAAGTCTGAATATATATAATGAAACGCTGAATATATTGAATGAAACTTGAGAATATATATAATGAAAGTCTGAATATATATAATGAATAACTGAATATACTGATTGAAACTTGAGAATATATATAATGAAAGTCTGAATATATATATAATGAAAAGCTGAATATTCAACTTTCAATCAATATATTCAGATTTTCATTATATATATTCAGACTTTTATCATATATATATTCTCAAGTTTCATTCAATATATTCAGCGTTTCAATCAATATATCCCTTTATTTTTGAACGGCTTGCCATAACTATGCAAACATAAAAATATATTTTAAGACGTATATTTATATAAAATGTAAATTTTTTTACCTATCTACGGTATAGTTTATATCGAGCCTATTTCATTTTTATTTTAGACTAATTACGCACAAACTAATGAACTAACCCTTATGCTATAACATGTAGGTTAGTAAAAGAAGGAGGACACAGAACAAAACGTAGGCTTTGTCTAAGTACAGTAGCCTACACTCGTGTTTAGTGCATCAAAATACTCACAAATACGCCTACACTTATAAACATCAAAGAGGCTACGTGCAAAATAAATATAGCCTACTGCTTACTAGGCTATACAAGCGACATAATATTCGGGTTTGGAACAAGTATGCAGAACTTGAGTTTTATGTGAATTAAAGACGTCCGTGTAATAAAATGCCACAGATTAACTAATAATATATGCACAAACAATATTATTCTCACTGTGCACACACGAAGCTGGTGTTTTTAAAATGCACTGCTCTCCGGCGCTGACGGGCCTCTGTAACCATGGCAACGACATAAACCGGATTAGGTTCCCCACTAATAGCCAACCTCTAGCTTTTGTATGGCTCCTTAAACCTATAATGGCACTCGAGCTTATGAGTCGTGTGACGCTACAGCCCGGTAAGGCACAATCAAAGCTCTAGGGCAATAAGGGGTGGCAGCTGCGGCTTCCGTATTTGACTGTTTACACGTGGGTAAGTGATGCAGACTACTGGTGGCTTGTAGTTAAACGGGGTGACAAGAGCCGGATATCACCTTCCTGTTTTGTCTCACGTTTCAGTTGTAACAGTAACTAGTCCTTAGCATCTCCATAAAGCAGTCATGGGAACGCTTGCCTTGCTCCCCAGGCTGCTTATACATAGTGACTAAGTGTGTTTAAGAACATTATCCCCTTTTAATCTTCTTTGCCTTCTGCTACATGCAAGTGGACAGACTGTCAGATGGACCCGTATAGCACAATCAAACTGCCGCCTCCATATTTTATTGCTCTTTTATTTTTGAGAATTAAAAGTTTCTCACCCTGAAACATTTCTTTCACCTCGTGTTTTTGAATATCCTTAATTATCTACTTATATTTCTGTAGTTAGCAGTGAGTTTTAAACCTAGAAATGGAGAACCCCAATATACGACAACTGAAGCTGGAAAATCAGGTAAAGTCAAGAATTATAGCTTACATATTTAATGTAATTTATGCATGAAATACCCCAGATATGTTGTAGTTTATTTTATAGTGTTACAAGAACAGTGCTCTTCACTCTTCACTAACTTACAGTGACATGACTTTGCAAGTTCATAGATGTATTTCTTTATCATATGTAGAATAAACATAATAGGCCATGCAGACAGTGGAACAAAGACCGAAGCTTATTCCTTCTTTGATTTGGTAATAAGTGGTTAAGACTGATGCTGAACTTTCCAAAGAAGTAGAGGTTTCTTGAATCTCATGAGATCATGAATACCTGTGTCAGAACACCTGGTGTGTAAGTCAAAGGCTTTTTTATATTCCACAGTATGTGAGCTGCTGGCTTAAAAACGTATACCAGAAAGATCAACACATCACTATTAAAAGTAATTCCAGCAGTTACTGTTATCACCTATTGTTACTCGTCTTAAGTTAATACTATTAATAATAGTCCTACTGAACAGTAACAGTGGTACATGGAGCTTGAATCTAACATCTATATCGTCATTTCCATCATTTTTAGTTGTGAATTGCTATTGCATAAATTACTATGAGCAGTATAACTTACATTAACATCCAAACACCTAATCTAGCCAGTTTTAATATTGATTAAATGATATAGTATATTATAGTATAACATTATAATTAGGATCACGTAGTTTGTCTCATAATATCTTATGGTCAGGTCAGGTCAAATGCAGTGAAATGCCTTATCTAAATACTGTACTTGTAAGTGTGTATGTGGGCTGTTATGGACTGTTAGAGGGTAAAAACAGATATTAAGATATTACTGTAGCACTAAAGTGGTATCCCCATGTATGAACACTGTTTGGACACAGGCACACATTTTGAATAACGTCTCATATTCTTTCCTCCACAGCGAATCCTTTTGATGAAAAAGCAGCAAAAGAAGAGGGCTGATTTTCAAATGGTGGTAGCCAATCGGGACTCTCGTCAAAAGAACCGAAAGCACAAAGCTGCCTGTTGTGATGAAACACCCCTTTTAATCAGCCAATCCCTGAGCAGCACTTCCCTGAGTGGTAAGCATTGGAATAATTTATTATTTTATGTAGATGGAGATAATCTAATTCCATTGTTGGTGCAAATATGTTCAATTTCTTAAATTACACTAAATATAAGTTTTGGTTGTTTTTCTTTTCTCCCTGGAGATCAAGTTGAACACGCTCATGATAACCCACTGGATGTGATCACATTGGGTGAATGTGACATGACTACAAACAGCGTGTTAGATGATATGCCTTTAATGAAGCCTGCTATCCCCAAGAAAATGAACTTGGAGATTGACAAAGAGCCTGAGGTGAAAAGTGATGTGGAGAATGACACTCAGGTGGAGGGAAAAAATACAAAGAAGAATGACAAGAAAAAAGAAAAAGGCAAACGTAAGATATGTAACTTTTGGACCCTCACTGATCTCGAACTCTGCACATGTGTGCGTGCTTTGTTCTTTTCATGCACCCTAATGTACAGCTAGGAGACACTTTGCTTGAATTAATGATTTATCAGAAACGTGTTGTTTTTCAGAAGTGGAACACAATAAGAAAAAAGAGAAAGAAAAGGACCAGGATGAGGAGAAAAAGGAGAAAAAAACAAAGAAGGAGAAAGTGAAGGACACACTGAAGACAAACAAGACAACCAAACAAGAGAGTAAACATAACATCACTTTGTGAATTTATGATCAAGACTTACACTACATAGAGCATCTAGTGGCTAAGAGTGAAAAACATTTTCATTGTGTTCTATGTTAAACTTTAAGAGCTGCTTTCACAGATTTTAAATGTCTCCTTCTTTTGCAGAGAAGCAATTGCAGGAGGTTTCAACCCAAGAGACAGAATCACCAATGGAGGCGACAAGTCCAAAAAAGAATAAACATGATGAAAATGAAGAAGAGGAAGATAGGTCCCAGAAAACTGAATCACAGTTGTCTAAGAGGAACAAACAGCTTGACACATGTGAGACATTGTCTGTGTCAGTCTGATGTATATTCAACAATACTGTAAAGTTGTTGTAAAGAATAACATTTTGTGTGTTGTCTTCACAGCAAGGTGCCAGATAAGTGGCGAGAGCAAAGACGAGGAAGTCCAAGAAAAAGAGAAAAGGGAGAAAAAGTCAACCGAAGCAGAGAAAACTACACCGAGTCTAGCATCTCTTAACTCTAACTACAGGAGGAGTTCATCCTCAGGCAGTGAATCTAATGAAAGAGTGAGACAAATACCAAACTGTTCAGTGTATTGTCCACAGCAGAGAAGGAAGGTTTGCACGTTATTTTGATTTGTCGCAGAAAGTACATAAAAATGACAAACTCTGTCTTACCCATTTCAGTCAGCTTCTCCAATGTCAGTGGAGGATCTTGAGAAGTTCGCTTTGCGTCCAGCCCCGAGAGACATAACGATCCAGTGCAGGGTCACCAGGGACAGGAGAGGCATGGAGAAGGGCATTTATCCGACTTACTACCTCCATATGGAAAAGGAGGATGGGAGAAGGGTTGGCATATTCTCAACAGTTCCTGCTTTCTTGAGCTGCCATATTTCTATCGTAGTTCTCTTGTCTGTATGTTCTAATTTTTTCATTGCACCACTGCCAAGGTATTTCTAATGGCAGGAAGAAAAAGGAAGAAGTGCAAGACATCCAACTATCTCATCTCCACTGACCCAATAAATCTGTCCAGAGACACAAACTGCTACATAGGAAAACTAAGGTATACTATGTTTTATTCCTACAGTATGAAGAAACAAAATTACCAATCACTTTCTTGTATAGACTGCACACTCTGAGGGTCCTTTGTGTTGTCACTCAGAATTACATGGCTAAAACCAAACCCAGTCAGTCCAAACCCACTGTACATTCAGCTGTGTGTTAACACATTGTGTTCTCTTGATTACTTCCCTTAAGTGATGGAATTAATGAAATCATCATGGGCATATATCACCACAATTTTAAGACATCTTTAGTTGGCATTCTGGGGATTCCCCTATTGATTTGTGAATAAAGTGATTTTACATGGGAGTGAAAGCAACTCAAGGCTGTTTTTTCAATTATGGCAAATTTTTCATCTTTCATCAGGTAACTTATAAGACCCATGTGTTTCAGGTCCAATGTTCTGGGTACAAAGTTCACAGTTTATGATGGGGGAGAAAACCCAGAGAAAAAGCCCTTCATCAAAGAGTGTGAATCAGTGCGGCAAGAGCTGGCGGCAATTTGCTATGTGAGCCAAAATACACTGTATACATCCCACTTTACATAGTATATCACCAGATCAAACCTGTAATACAGTCAACTATTTGTGTTCCAGGAGACCAATGTGCTGGGCCTCAAGGGTCCAAGGAAAATGACAGTGATCCTTCCTGGCATGTTGGAGAATGATGAAAGAGTGTCGATTCGTCCAAAAAATGTACAAGGAGAATAGGAAATCCTAAGCTATAAAACCTGTGGTGTTGGTTACATGTGAACTAGTTTAGATAAACAGAAGTTTTCTCTTACTTCAGGATCTTGAGACTCTACTGGTCTGCCATATGAACAGCAACACAGACAAACTGGTCACCCTGGTGAACAAATCCCCAAGCTGGAACGAACAGACTCAGTCGTATGTGCTGAACTTTCATGGACGTGTCACCCAGGCCTCAGTCAAAAACTTCCAGATCATCCACCCTGATAATGGTAAGATGTGCCTGACTTACTGTCGTACTTCTTCCTTGAACAATCACTGTTTTATATCTAATTTCACTGTTATCTATCTGCTCTCTTTCTGCCCTCTTCTTGTTGTCTTATCCAGAAGACTACATAGTGATGCAGTTTGGCCGTGTGGCAGAGGATGTCTTCTCCATGGATTATAGTTTCCCCATGTGTGCCCTGCAGGCCTTTGCCATCACCCTGTCATCCTTTGATGGCAAACTGGCCTGTGAGTGATCCATGTTAGAATGCCTCAAATAGATCCCTGTTCTAGATAGAAATGTACAGGTAAAACTATACCCAGTATTTTCCAGAGGGTCATGTTTATGTTTTGTATCCTGGTGCAATTTAACACTTTGTATATACCGGTTAATTTAATGGTCTTTCTTTTGATATTTTCCAGATGTGTAAAGGACAACTGTGTAAACACTACCAGTGAAATATTAAATGATAATAATACAGTGTTTGCACTTGTGCAAATTGTTATTTAGCACTGTGCTGCATGTCCCTTGGTGAAGGGCTTTAACATTTACTAGTGATTTTCAGTAGACTTTTCCAAGCCCCATACAAATTTGTGCTGCTGCAATCATCTTCTGATTACATCATTTCCAGCTGAAAGTGGCCTCTCTATCCATTTCCTATCATCTTCAAGTCTTTATCACAAAAAACATTTTTAGCAAAGCACTAAAAACATAAAAAGCACTTATATCAGATGCAGAGGAAATGCAACTAGTTGTGGATAGAGCCAAACATATCATGGTTTCTGCTCTTGCACAATATAATGATTTGAAAATGCTTCCATCTCTCAAAAGCTTCATTGCTCATGTCAAACACATTTTCATTAGAAGTTCATATCACTTCATATGAGGCGACGGAAAGTCATTTGGGTTTCAACTCATAAAAATAGGCCTCTGTGATGCTCTGTGGTAAAGTGAGAAGATAGAAGAGCACATATATTCTTGATAGCGAAAACCCAAATTAAACTGAAACACTGACGAGAGCATTTATGTGACGCGTTGTTCACTTGTTTATGTTCAAATGTTCAAATGTGAGTATTGCTTTCTTAAACTTTAACATTTTCTAGTACTTGCAGCAACACCTCAGGCCCCTGTGCCACAAAAGATCAGTCTTGTGAAATGCATGTATTTACAATTCATGTTTTTTCTGAATCACACTTGAATAAATCTGACCTAGCTTGTTTACAATGCGTACCTCTTAATATATACATGTGCTGTGTACAATATAAGCTAACATAGATACTCAACCTACTAGTGTGTAAGTATATGTTTAAAAATTCTACATCAACAACGTCAGAGGAAAACATGAACTTCACTGCCAGCGCTTATCTTTGTCAGAATCTCATTTTACACTTTACAGCCAACATGCATCTCCTGCCAATACACTTGACATTGCACAACACTCTTGTATTGCTGATGTGCGTCTGGCTCTCCAGATATCACAGCAGCAAACATTATGTTAAAGCTACAACACATGCATTCTGTGTTAAGTCCTTTAGGTAAAACCTTGCATTTGTCAGCTCAGTGCATACAAGTGCCAGATAGGGCATTAGAGATGGACATTGACATTATGGTACTAGTGAAAGAAAATCTTTACACCAAAAAAGTAATCATTCATTTTTCATAATACTTTACAATCTGATATTTAGGACATTTGAATGTAAATGTTTTTAATGTATAAAGACATTGAAAATCAAAGATTAAGACTACTGCATGTGTTATCAGCTCATCACTACTGAGTGCCTCAGTATATTGGTAAAAACTTTCATTGACTCACATCATTTCATATCATACTACAATGATATACTACAGCAATTAAAACAGTAATATTGTTTAAAAACATTTTACCACATAGTAAGACAGACTGTGGTTGAGGTGAAAGACTCGAGACAGCACTTAAACTGCACCCTTTTCATGTGCTTTCCTTTCACAGCTGCTCTCTTAAAAAAACACATGCTTTGCCACCAGTGACACGTGAGTGATAGCAATCGGTGTGAAAGCACTGTCTGATACCTCCCCTTGTCAGTCTTCATTAAATGCAAAACAACTTATAGGACCATCTCAGGACTGAGGTTATGTCTGAGCTGGCAGCTGTGATGAAGTGGAGCACTGTGCTGCTGGTGGTGTTTCTGCTCACATCTACCAACATCGATGATCTACATGGAGACCCCACCACAGGTTACGTCTCTGACCGTATTTTTTGTTTTCAAAATTTGACTCACAATCCGGTTGATGAGAAATGGTTTCTGCTACGGCCTATTCAACCCAAAGCTGTCATAGCTTCTTATTAAGGAAAAGACCTGTTTTCTTGTCTTTTTATTGGTATTTACAACTGCAGAGTTCATGACATATTGTAATGTGTAAAATCCTTCAACAACCTTTTGGAGTTTTTCATTTAATAATAAACCAACATGAGGTTTTACACGGTTTTACTCAGGTGGTCATAATGTTTTGGCTGATTGGTGTAATTAGTAGTATTCTGTATTGTAAAGTGGTATGATAAGTTATTAAAATCAGCGTTTGGTTAGAGGTCACATAGGGTTACAGTAAATTCCCAAAGTGACACATTGGTAAAACATCGGTTTTACTTCCTGACAGTCCCTCTAAAACACTGCCTGTATGCTTTTTTTAGGTGACCACGGTCTCCACTGTGTACATGATTACGTGTTCACCATCAACTGCTCCCTGAGCATCACACCATCGGCAAATGCCTCAGACAGTAACAGCTCTTACTGGCTCACTCTGATAAAAGATTATGAACTGTGAGACCTTTGTGTTAACTCACACATATCAATGATGGATGAATATGATTTTGATGTCTCACTGCTGTTTCTCCTCTCCTCGCTGTACAGAAACACGTTTGTGTGTAAGCTGACAAACACATACGAGAATTATTTCTGCTCTGTTAAAACATCTGATTCAGTGCCCGATGAGTATGCATCAGATATGGATACCTTTAAAATCTTACTCTGCCACAATCAAAATGATGGACCTGACATCTGTGAGCTGTTGGATGGCAACTATAAACCTTATATAAACAGTAAGGAACGCAAAGATTTTGGTCTGTTCTCATAACCGTCACAATCTGTCTTTGGTATATAATGTTTGTCTGTAATGTCTCCTCTCATCAGTTAAACCAAACGCACCGTGCTGCCTCACAGTTCGCCTCAACTCAAGTCACTCCAACTTCACCTGGAAAAGTACCTATGAGGAATACAGTGAATTCACCGGTCTGGTTGATAGCCTCATGTATGAGCTTCATTTCTACAAAAGAGGAGGTGAACACAAGGTAAGATAACACAAGGGAGAGTCAGGTCGGTCAGAGGCCTATTGTTTAATAAGCAAAACATATTTTTAAACTAGAATTTTTGATATGTTGAAGTGTATCTATTACACTGTGTGAAGGGGTTTGATCCAAACCACTGTCAATGTTTCACAGATTTCACAGATCCTAATGTTCCTTTAATTTGGTTTCCTTGTGATGCCAGGCTTAAACCTGGCAACCACTCACTTTACAGGTATGTGCCAAAAAATTAGAATATCGAGGGAAAGTCCATTTATTTCAATAATTTGTTTCAAAAAGTGAAACTTGTATGTTATATTAGTTCACTGCACACAACGTGAAATATTTCAAGCCTTTATTTGTTTCAATTTTGATGATTATGGATTAAAGACAAAAAAAACCCAAATCCAGTATTTCACAAAATTAGAATATCATGACAAAGTTCAACATTGTAGGCTCCCTGTTTCCCAATCTAGTCAGCTAATTAATGCAAAACACCTGCAAAGGTTTCCTCAGCCTTGAAATTGTCTCAGTCTGGCTTAGTAGGCTTCAGAATCATGGGGAAGACTGCTGACTTGACGGTTGTGCAGACGACCATCATTGACACCCTCCATAAGGAGGAAAAGTCTCAAAAGGCAATTGCAAAAGAAGCTGGATGCTCACAGAGCGCAGTATCAAAGTATATTAACAGAGTGTTAAGAAGAAGGGAAGAATGTGGCCGGAAAAGGTGCAAAAGTGACAGGGATGACCGCAGCCTTGAGAGGATTGTCAAGCAAGGGCGATTCAGAAATCTGGGGGAGCTTCATAAGGAGTGGACTGAGGCTGGTGTCAGTGCATCAAGA